TATATATATAAATATATATACACATAGATATGTATACATACACCAGATACTGCAATATGATACCTCCGGTTGCTTTCTATACTCGTAACGCCCCTACACATAGTTCAGAACCCTGCATTCCACACACAATTCCGCGCAAATCCCCGACAGTGCAAATCAAAGCCTGCACTCTCGACTTGCCCTAAACCTTAAGCCAGCTCTCGGGACACCTGAAAAAGAGCTCTACACCAAAAACACCTTTGTTACTGGATGAGGCTTGCCGGTTGTGTGGCGGAGTAGTGCTATTGAACAATGCTATACTACTCATGGGGCTTATAGGTCCTAGGTTCAGGGTTTAGGGCTTCGCAGCAGCAAGAATACTGATGACAACAACAGTTTGACCATCTTCGCAATATCAGAACCAAAGCCTTACTACATACAAGCGTAATCAACCCCGAGCCCAAGCTCAATCCGTATACCGCTGGCATTAACCCTCAAACCGGAAACCCGACCCCCACCTCAGCCCCAAGCCGTACCATCTAGTTCCGCCAGTAAACCCGAATCCTATGAGCCCTTAACCCAGAAATTCTAAGCCGAAATCGGAAACCCCAAACGAAACTCTGAGCCTACTATTCAATCCTGAGTACAGAAATCACCAAAGTGCTAAAGCATAAACCCCAAACTCCCAAGTCTCAAGAAACCCTGAGCCACTTTGTTAGAGAGATCCAGCTGAGAGAGCTGGGTCTTCGACACACCCGGAGGTGGAGACGAACATCGGGCGGTTGAGGCGTTTAGGATTTAGGCTTTTAGTCTTTGGTCTCTTCGGGCATCTAGGGCAGTAGGCATTAGGGCTTGGGGCCATCCGGTCCGTCCAAGAATTGTCGGTTTGCTTTATCCCTACACCTTAAACTTCGGGGGTAGAGGGGGGGGGGGTGGCGGCACAGGACCAATCGGCACTCGGACACTAGCAGTGTAGCTAAGTTTTGGTTTATATCCGCAAAGGGACCCGAATTCAGAGAACCACACATATGATCATTAGGCACCTTGCGATACGGCTTAGTGTTGCTGGACGTTGGACTGCGGTGGACTAGAGCTTTCGAGTGCGCATAGACAGGGTCGAGAGACGCGGAATTAGGATATTGGATTCAGGGTACAGGTCCTTGACCCTAGACTTTTAACACAAGGGGATGTGTATCTGGGAATCAGCCATTCTCATTCCCTCATGATTAGAGCAGATCAAGAAATGCCCATTTTCTTAGGATCCGTAGTTCAATCGAAGCTGGTTTGTTAATCACGGGTCTGCATTCTGAAGCTCGGAGTAAACCGGGCTCCTTCTGCGGGTCTTGAAATTGATCCTGCTGCTGACGGTCTAGGTTCGACATGAGGATCCCATAATGAGGGCTTAGGGTTAAGGGGTTAATCACCTCCCCTGTGTTAAAAGGACTTTTACCGGGAATCCACACAATAAGGCCATGTCAGGAAAAGTATGGTGCGCCGTGGCGCCGCCACGGTGTACCGAGGGTTTATTCATCAAGGGTCTAGATGAGCTCCCATGTGTCCTCAAATCCCAGAAAGGGTCCTTCAGCACTTAACCTGAAGATGTTCCTGTATTCAGGCTGGGCTCACTGAAGATTTAAGCTTATGTCATGCAGGGAAGGTTTGGTGGGTTGGGTCTGTGAGGTTCCGTTGTACTTGGCTCGTCTGGACCTCATGCGAATAGAGGTCCTCCTCTTGGCCGCGCAACGCTTCCGCTGCGGCCTCAACTGAAACGCGCTGCCGGGTGGCGCTATCGACAAAATCAGAGCTGCTGCGCGCCACTGTCGATTTATACAGAAGGGGAAAGAGCACAGGTGTTCGATAAACCGTAAGACTCCGTATTTAACCGTAACCCTAAACCCGTGAAAGCAAGTCCTGACTACAGGAACCTAAAGCCGTCATTAACTAAAAGGCACAAAGGGGACCCTTAAGAGCGTCTCTCATGAAGGTTGCTGGGTTGCTGCTTCTCCCGGCCTTGCAGCCTTGATGCACTGGACGCAGACATCTTTGTCCAGCAGTCCATACAACATCTGCTGTTCTTGTGCCGCCTCTGGTGCAGGCCCTAAACAGTGCACCCTCTTCCTCAGCAACCGGGCCCCAACGAATTCAAAGTTTCTTAGATAGACCTTAAAACCCATTTCAGGCCTAAAAGTTCACAGCCCTCCTATGGGCTAACTAAGGCAACAGTAGGCGTCAACCATGCCGCGCACACCCGTCATCCGTAGGGTAGAAGCCGAAATAGTGACCAGCATATGTTTCCTTGAGGCTCCTTTTTTATGATGCTACCAGGAATACCCGAACACCGTAATCTAAGTTATCTAAGTATGAAATGGTGCCCAAATAAACCGCAATCCCCTGAAGCTCCAAATCGTCCAACAGCCAGACTGGAAGCCAAGTTACGGGCCCAAACAGGCCCGACCTTTTCGAAAACTCTGCCAAGAGGCCGCTTATAGCAAAGTCTACAGAGACTTAACCGTGCCACAATCCTTATAAGCCCTAAGCCACAAAGCCTTTGAAGGTGCTTGAGAGAGGTGGTTGTGTTAAGGGCATTCGGAGACTCCTGAAAAAACAGTTCACAGCCCCCGGGAGAAAACATACATCATATACTTGTTGACTACACAACTTGTGAATACAAGGGCCTCAACAACTTGAATGGGCTTGGGGGGTGGTGTATTTGTATACTGGCTGTGAGACAGAGTTGAGAAGGTTACTTACTGCTGTTAACATTAGAGTTGCTTATTTGTTGATGGTTTAACACATCGGGCTTGGGGTTTAGGGCTCAGGGTTGCTTGTTGCCGTTTTTAATGTTGCAGGGAGCATTGAATGTGGAAACGGCAGCTACCTTATCACTCCACAAACGCACTCAAACCCAACCCCCCACAACCTGCAGCCCTGAACTCTGGGCAAAACAATGCCACGAGCATGCAGGGACCATAGGAATCAGAATGAGTTTTGGGGGCTTAGTCGTAATACATACATGTATTGATGATTGTACCTTTTGTCGTACGGCTTAGTGCATGTAGGGTTCAGGGTGTAAGGTTTGTGACGTAAGGCCGCATAAGGTGTGTGACTTATGGTCTCGACGCCCCCCGGGCGATCACCAGAGAAAGCAGGGAGACGGATGAGAC